CCATGCTCCTCACCATGATGATCGTGGACTCTACCCCTCTGAAACCATGAGTCTCAAATAAAATGCTTTCTTTTATAAGTTGCCTTGGTTATTGTCTTATCACAATAGAAAAGTAGCTACAGATTTGAAGAAAAGACATACAGATATGTGGGTGGATAAAGAGATAGGCATGGCATAGGCACATAAATGCACCTGTTTATTTAGTGGACCTTTCTCCCAAATGTTAGGGTGTGGTTTTTTGTGTTTCCTCATGTTTCTTCTGCTTTCCGTTTGTTGATTACCCTGGATCTTCACCAAACCTTCACTAGTTAGCTTCACTAGTTAACTATCTTCACTAGTTAGCCTCTTACCTTTCAAAATTACATGCTAAATAAACCACTTTTCTTTTTAAAGTTCCAGCCTCAGGTACTTCATCATAGTAACAGAAAACAATAATAGCAAATGATAGCTGACTACTATTTTATTCCTTTAAATATTGAACTTTACTCTGAGTCATAGTTAAGTTAGTAGATTTATTTTTATCTTTTTATGTATGCTGTGAAAATGTGTCTGTGCCGACTCCAGCATGCCCATCAATATTTGTGACTATTGGTGTCCGGGGTTTGTTCCTATAATAACTCGAGTCTCTGTTATGCCATTGTAGCTGATGATTTTTTTTCCCAAATTGACAAAACATAAAAATACATGAAATACTTCTAAGTATTTATATTGTGGCCAGTATTAGATACTAAAATGGCCAATGCTTTTATACACAGTTTTAGTGGGTATATGTTGGCACTTTTTTTCTGAAATATCATACATCTTGCAGAGATGTGTGAGGATTTATATTACAGTTGAGTGGGTAGGGATGCTTTTCATCATTTTATTACACTGGGGAGAGGACCAATCTCATACCACACAGAGACTTTTATTTAAGAAATTTTGACATTTGCTGAAATTAATTCAACTACAGGGGTATATTAAAAGCGGAAAGAAGGCTGTCAAGATGGCCTAGTGGGTAAAGATGCTTGCTGCTAAGCCTGGGGACCTGAGTCCCATCCCTGGGATGAATGTGGTGGATGGAGAGAACTGACTCCCACCAACCACTGTCCTCCGACCTCTACACACAGCTATATATGCATATGCACACATGCATACACACATGCACATGTACACACACATGCATATGAATGCATGCTAACTAAATGCAAAATATGTGATTAAAGTGTACTTGTGTTCTTAGTAAGTTTTAAAAAAAAGCAGGTTACAAAATAATCTCTACATTCCTCTATCTTTCAGCAATTTGAATAATATTTTAGTGACTTAGCTTAATGGAAACAATAGATTTACAAATTTGCTGAAGAATATATTTAATAATGTTTCTCCCTTTAAGAAATCCCAATTGTCTCATGAAATCTGCTGACAGTGACGGTTCAGATGTGAGGCTGACTGCTTCTGCATAGAACACTAGAATCCCTAGCAGATTTCAAGTCAGCTACCTAGTGTGGTAGCAGCCCAAGATGGGGATCCAGGGAGACCCTACAATCCATCAGGAAAGAAAAAGCCAAAGAACCAGCAGTCTGCATGAGGGAACTGGAAAAAGTGGCTCATTCCTATGGTTTTGGGAGCCCAAAAAACCTACAGAGTTAGGGACTCCAGCCCACATAGGGTGGAGACTCCAGCAGGTGCAGCTCGGGCCTGAGCCAGGGCCTATAAGGCCCCAGGCAAGTGGCTTTTCATGAATTTGTGCCCCACAAGTTGGATGTTCAAATCTTAGTTGGTCTTTTAATAAAAAAAAATCCAGAGCCAGAGATCAGAGTGAAAGCTAAAAGATCAGAGAAGCAGAACAGCCACCCACTAGTTCTTAACTCTACGAAATCCCCAGCCTAAAGAGTGAGTTCCTGTTTCCTCATGCCTTATATACCTTTCTCTGCCCTGCCATATTACTCCCTGGGATTAAAGGTGTGTATTCTTCCCAAGCAAAGGCATGAGATCTCAAGTGCTGGGATTAAAGATGTGTGCCACCACTGCCTGACCTCTATGTCTAATTTAGTGGCTGTGTCTGTCCTCTGATCCTCAAGCAAGTTTATTAGGGTACACAATATATCACCACAATTGAGACACCAGCCTCGTGGACTGAGCGGCTGTCCCCACCCCTCCCAGTGAGACACCTATTGTGGGACTACTGACTGCTGAGGCACCAGCCTCAAGGATCGAGAAACCACCAGATTCTCAGCCTCTCTGAGATTCTCGTGTGATTCTGCTCTTGTTCCTGTCTTAACATAAGCTGGTTTAATAAATTTGCATGTGTATGTATATATGTGCATTGCACACATATGAATTTATTAAATTATATGTATGTATTCATTCTATTATATATGTTCCTCTAGAGAATGCTGACTAATACATCAGTCCTGGAGACATTTCTCAGAATTGCCAAAACTGGTACAGGTAATAAAATAGACAATATTTGACTTACCAACATCTCGGGAGCCCCGGGAAAGGCAAACTCAAACAGGCAGGATTGTTTATCAGGAGCAGGTAGCTGGACTATGCTTCCCAGGGACTGCACAAGGTCCTGTGGACCAGCATTGACTCAGGCTGGAACAGGTGGAATGCAGTCAGAAAGCTGTTTGCATGGTGTCCTGTAGCACTCCATGGCTTAGATAGATGCTCCACAAAATGCTCAGCTCTTATGGAATTTCCTCATCCTTCTATAAGGTGGTCTCATCTGTCAGTCCTGCAACAAGACCAAGTAAGTGGTCAGGAAAGACAGTATGATATGGAGGCTATATAATTGGTTTAAACATGGCAAAATACCAAGACACTATCTGAGGAGAAAGATCACGTATAAACAGTAATAACTTGGCAATAAGGCTGATGAAATCTGATGACAAGAACAGATTCAATTTATGGGGAGAGGGGGTACTGTATTGTTCATTCCAGCTTTTGTGGGCATAATTCCAAACCTAATGCTTCTGATGTGTGTGTGTGTGTGTGTGTGTGTGTGTGTGTGTGTGTGTGTGTGTACATATAACAGACACAGGTGTGTGTGTGTAAAGGAAAATACATGTACAAACATTGTTGAAATCATTAGAATAAAATTCAGCACAATTAATCTTCAAATCAGTTAGACAGGAATGAAAAGGGAAAGATAGTAATATCAAAGATAATAAATACCAAATAAATAAATAAATAAATAAATAACAAAAGTTTTTGTTTGTTTTTTTTTGGGGGGGGTGGTTTCGAGACAGGGTTTATCTGTGTAGTTTTGGGCCTGTCCTAGAACTCGCTCTGTAGACCAGGCTGGCCTTGAACTCACAGAGATGCGCCTGGCTCTGCCTCCCAAATGCTGGGATTAAAGGCATGTGCCTCTGCCGCCGCCGCCGCCGCCGCCGCCGCCGCCGCCGCCACCACCCGGCTATAACAAAAGTTTTAAAATGGTGAAAGGAGGTTGAGTACCCAGTGTCAGGCTAAATAGCTCACAAGACAGACAGTCTGAGGATCATGTCCCTGGAGGGGCACAGGCTGCCATCTTTGTCTCTCTCCAGGCCAGCTTACAGCAGTGGCCTAAAGAAACACTCTGTGGTTCCTAAAAAGAATGGAAATGGGAAGCTAAGCCCTGAGAGAATTTGGTAGAGTTTTCTATCAGTGCATTCTCGGGTGGATTTGCTGGTGTCTCGTGAAATTAGTGCATCCCTGGAGGAGAGACTGGCCCCAAGACTTCCTGATTCTGGTATTCAGATTAGAATGATAATGTAAGTTAATGTGGAAAGCCTTGCCTCCTATTCTCCTACAAATTTGTATGAAGATGCAAATATCTGTAGCTTGAACATCTAGAATTCTCTAGTAAAATAAGAAGGTAGACATTTAAGTAAAATATTCGGTTAAATCAATAGTTCTAGGTCTTTCTGCATTCATTTGCATTGCTCATGAAATCAATATCAGCTATGATTTCTAAGCATGGTGTGCTTCACCTAAACTGTCACACACTCTTCACCAGTCTGTCCGTGGGAGTCCTTTACACCCTTATCCCTGCCACATCTGAGCTCTTCTCTTTTGATTTTTTAGTAGTATTTTTATTTGGGCTTTTACTTTTCTGCATCTTTCCAGAAGTTTATCCTTTCCCCTTAAAAGAAAAAAAAAACTTCTAGTTTTGTTGACTCTCTGCAATTAATTCATAGATTTTGTTTCATTAATTTCTGATCATATATATGTTATTTCAGATTTTCTAACTTACTGCCCTCTGGGCTAGGTCATTTGCTCAGCCCAAGTAAACTATTCCATCTTTTCTATTATAATTAGAAAAAAGTGAACATTTCCCTTGAAATACTCTCTCAAAATTTCTAGCATTTGTTGGTGTTGTAGCAGGTGAGATGTGTGAACATATATATAGTACTACAATATGTATTCAAATTGTTGTCCCATTATCAAATAGGACCTGACTGTTAAAAGCTTCACATTCACCTTAGTCTTGGTTGTCATTCAAAACACATGAGTGACCGGCAGCAATGGTCTATTTTTCCTCCCCACTCCCATCCCCCAAGAGTCCTTTAAGGCTCATGTCCTCACCTGAGGTTCATGGGACAAACACTTTCGGGGCGGCGGGGAATGAGATGATGATGAGGTCAATGGCATTTCTGTGGGACTCTTCACACTTCTCACAAAGACTTACAGAAAGAGTTGACAGAGACTCATTTAGATGCCCCTCAATCTGGTTTCTATCACTTTAGGAATCAGAACAGGAGTGAACCTGTAGCAAAAACTTGAATTCATTCAGTTAGGTTTCATCAGATGAAATCTGATTCACTGGCTATTCCCGGAATGAAGACAGAGAGTGAAGAGAGGATCAGAACGGGAGAGGACTTCTGTGGTGAAGCAGTCCGTGACTTCAGGTTTGCTGATTAATTTCAATTTCGCAAGTTTCCTTACTTATGCTATTGAGGATTGTCATTCGGAGCCTGTGGACCATGTTAAGATAGACTGCCTATCACAGTGATTTTCTGTTTCCTCCCTGCATTCATTAAGAGACCATCAGTCAGGTACAGTTGTAGATCCACCATCATGTGACAAAGCCTGCTTCCTCTTCTGGAGGAAGGATGCTGGAGAGAAACCCCAAGCCCCTAACTGTGAAGGAGGTAGCCAATGAGAGGAGAGAAGAGTCCAAAGACAAACCTGGGCCTATTAATCAGCTGGTCCCAGTCTGAGCCCTTCTTCCCCCCAGCTCCGCCCAAGCTGCCCACCCCATCTTCTTTTGTACCTGGCCCTGCCTTTAGCTTACACAGTGAAGTGTAACATGCCACATCACTCAACTGTAGGTGACATATCTGATGGTGCCCTGTAAACCTCCTAACAATGTAGACAACTTCTTAATACTAAGTTATTGCCATAGTTGTCTACCCTTTTATCCTATCATTTCTATATTAATACATTTCTGTATCATGTCTCCCTTTCTTCTTTTAGAAAGATATTGACTATGACCAATAACAATTTTTAACCAATGCCTAAATAAAGACAAACATCCGTAATCCATTTTTTGGGAATGTGAAATATTTTCTAGGCTACTTCCTGCTGATTGGGGGCCTTGGTAGTCTTATGGGAACACAAAGAAAATTTAGGATTATGGTCAAGTCCTGATTGGAGTAGTCTATAAGGCTGTATCATCTGAGCTAGCTATCTCGATTTTGTCCTGAGCAGTTTGGAGTCCAAAGCCGATCTTTGGGTGGTGTTTGTCAGCTTAATGCATTATTATTGTCCTGATGGAGTCATCATTGTGGGGTCCCATCTTTTTGGAGACTTCAGAGTTGCTGTTAAGGTATGGTCATGGTTCACTGAAGAAATTTTTTTCGTGAGATGATTTTTCTGGATGATTTGTTCTTTCTCTTTAGATGTCTCATTTGTCTAGTGTTCTTCAGATTCCTTAGCCTTCATTCTCCTGAAAGATAAAACAAAACAAAACAAAGCAAAGCAAAACAAAACAAAACAAAACAAAACAAACCTTCCCCAACCCTAACTTTGGGGAGGTTCCAAATCAAATCAATTTTGTTATGGTTTCTCCTAAATTTTTTGTTCTCTCTTCTATAGCTGTTCTAGCATTCAGAGCAGTATGTTTTTTTTACAATAGGTATTAGGTTCTTTAATTGCTCTGGGAAGGAGTTTCTTCCATGATGACAGAAAAGAACTGAACAGAATTTGACATGGGGGCCTGTGAGAGGCCTCTCAGGGTGTTTCTCAAAGGCAAAGGCAAAGGATTACTTTGTCTGTCTCTTGCTGATATAATTCATTAGTCCAATGTCTGCCTTTGCCACACTTTCTGCATAATCCAGAAGGGAGTGGCGCTCTGTTGGGATTATTCCTTGAGAAAACATTATTTCTAGGAATGCCCTGTTTAGAGTCCCTTTTTAGTGACCTTGTTTACCACATTGAAACATTTGACATTACTATTTTTCTCCAAACCTCTGGAAATCATCTCTCCTACCCAAGTATCATCATGGTCATGAAATTTAATATTAATTGTATCTTGGATCCATTCCTCTAAGGGTGCTGATCTTGCCTTTAACAGCCTAATTACCCTTTTGCATTGTGAATTAGTATTTTCAAAAGCCAGAGATTCAATTATTATTTGTCTAGCTTCTGATTTTGGTATCGTTCTATTTACTGCTGAAATCAGTCTTTATAAGAAATCAGTGAAGGTTTCTTTTGGGCCCTGTATAACTTTTGTAAATGACTCAGTTTTCTTTCCTACTTCTTGAGTTCTGTCTCAAGCGTTCAAGGCTGCCATGTGGCATAAAGCTAGGGTGTGGTCATCATATAAAGATTGTCTTTGCATATCAGCATAATATACAGTTCCAAGAAGTTGATCTTGCAAAACTTCCACACCTCTAGCTCTACTTTGTTGTTCAATGGTCTTAGCTTCATCCTTCCACAAGGTCCTCCATTGTAATTGGAGACCAGCCTCTAAGACTGCTGTAACCAAATTTCTCCATTCTTCAGAGATAATTCTATTACAAGTTGACCATGAGTTTAACATCTGCTTCATGAAAGGTGAGTGGATGCCATATGAAACTATTGCTTCTTTGAATCTCCTCAAATCTAACATTTGCATCTTTGTCTCACTCACTTAAGGGGGTGGGGGTAAATATGAAGCATGGTGATGGTGAGGCTCACAGGTCATGGTTCCATGCTAAGAAAATAACTGAGCCATAATCTTAGAACAACAAAGTGATTCTGCACCCATAAGCAGACCCTGAACCACCATGTTAATAAATGCTTATTTAATCAAATCTATTTTGCTTCAATACCATGTCCACATTTCCAATAACAATAATAAAACTAAATAAATCAATGATAATGGAAAAAAAGAAAAATCAAAAATCAATTTGAAGAAACAATATGAGCAAGGACAAGAGCCACTATGGTGGGGAAGGGTATATTATCACACCAGGAATTTGAGAAAAGCACAACACAAACCCAAACAAACAAAACATAATCATATCCTAAAAGCCTTAAAAGAAAAAGTTGATAATTTCCTGTTATTCAGTCCTCTGAGTGAATTCTTTAATAGACTCTCTTTCATCTTGAAACTTGTAACCGTTGTCCATCAGGCTCTAGAAATTTTCCTCCGTTCCAGGGCTTCAACAGAATAGATGTGGCCCGGCCCTCTATGAGCTACTCGTACTTGGGAGGTTTCTATGTGTTTTCTTCTTGTTAATAGAATTCTATTGGAGTATTGGA